GAAAAAAAAAAGGCTAGATCTGACACTTATCTATCAAGTATGATTAATGAAATAAATCCTAGTATGATACAAGGGGGTGGATTAGTTAAGTCACTAAAGGATCCTTCAACACAAATGATTGTCATTTTTGTGGTTTTGTATAAGTTTCTGCAATACACAAAACAGACTTATTTTGAATGCATCATGACCTATGATAAAATTCAGGTTACCCTTTAAAAACAAAAGTAAGCTATATGTACTCTATGCTATCAAATACAAATTTTTACCAATTCTAGAAGGGGTTATTTCATCAGCAAATAAAGATATAAATAGAAATTATGGTGTATATTTAAAACATACTCAAGTAAAATATTTATATAAACTCACTTAACATTTAAGATGTTAAGTGGCTGTATTTTTTTCTTTCAGTTTATTAAATGTGTCTGTCTCAAGTTCTATGCTTTGAATTTGTGAAAATACATTTGTTCAGTGTCCATAAGAAGGACATGTCCACCCCATCCAGAATAAAATCTTTCTCCTTCCCTTCCCCCTTTCCTCACCCTCAGAAAAAATCCTGGGAAAATACACAAACCTTGCAGTTTGCCCCAAAGCACAATGAATTCAGGCTTTGTTATACCATGAATGGGAGTGAGTTCCAGAGGTCCCATGACTTATGTTGTCCAGTGACCAGTTTCTTTCCTTTAAAATTATAGCACAAAGAAACTACATTCTTAGCACACATAGACAGCAGAGAATTCTCCTGTTAGGGAACAGCAATGAATTCCCCAACTAGCATAAAGCCAGCAGCAATGCTTCCTGCATCAGCATCACATAACCCTGGCACAGTGGGTGTATCTAGGAAGAGAGGGGCATGGTAGCGAGGACTAGACAAGAAGTGTGGTGATACTGTAGTGATCCTCTACTAGCATAGTATTCCTTATGACCATGAATTGATTTAAATTATGCTGGGTAGATCCGCCACCTGGAGCAGTGAGAGAATCTAGCCCAGTCTGTAAAGTAATCTGATCTCAATCATCTAGAGACCTATAGGTGAAAACCAGTATTCACCCAGAAACAAGCTTGGAAGCAGTTGCAGGCTAAGGAACACTTCTGTAGTATCCTGCCTTTAATACATACAGGTTTTAATTAAGGATGTTAAGATACAGGTAATTGACTAATCGTGTACTCCAGTACATTTTATGATGATGATACACGGATAACAAAGATGGTCTTCTATGTCCAGCTTGCTCATGGAAAGAGCTCTATTGGTGGTCAGTATAAGCACTATAAAGACATCTTAGAGGCCAATATGAAGTCACGCAGCATATCTCCCAGTAATCTGGAAACTCTAGTTCAGGACGAATTGTCCTGGCGACAAACCATTGTACACGCTCTTAATGGCTTTGAGAGTCAGTATATCCAGACATTGCGGGAAAAGCGGCGGATCCTAAAAACATACAGTGCCTGCAGTTGGCGGCTTTTTATGTGACATCTGTAATCGGCTCTGCCGATCAAGGGATTGGTTTGTTTAGTTGGTCTCCAAAGGTGTCATAGAAGATGAGATCTGTCGATCGACAGCTCAGTCCAAGAAGAACATTTTATATAGGGTACATGATTAGTTGATAAGCTGCATCTGTGCAGTTTAAACATAGTAGTAAGAGCCAGGTGCACAGGCTGCCTGGCTGGCTTCTACTACATTTTAGCTGCAGAGCTTCATTGACAGTAGGTCCAGAACCCAGCATGAGCTGGGACTCTTCAGTCCCACCTTGCACCAGGTCCCAGACCGCATACTACATGTAAAAAGCAGAGCTGCAGCAGTCTGGGAACTGATGCATGACAGGACTGCTGAGTCCCAACTCACGCCTGGTCCCCCGTTTCTCTGCCTCCTGATCTCCCCTCAACGTACCTTGGAGACAGTGCTGGAGGGAATCGGCTTTTAAGCCAGCTCCCTCCAGCACCAGCTTCTCCTTCCCTCATCCCCCTGCAGCCTCTGTATCAGAGGCTGCAAGGGGATAGGATAAGCGAGTTGAGTAATGACTCGACTACCCGATAAGTCTAAGCTTATTGGATAGTCAGCTACTCAGGTGGTAGCTTTCATCTCTAATTTTAATAATTGAGTAAACACCTGCACTAGCGGAAGTTTCCTACTGGTATTGGAGTTCAGCCATGTGTGGAAGGTATTACATTCATACAATCAATAGCTAACATAATCATAAATATCTGTCCATTCCCAGGAAAAAAATTGTTACAAAGCACAGCATGGAAAAAGTGCCTCTGGAGTAGGGATGTAAACAAGTAGTGGATTAGTTGACTACTCACATTTTCAATAAGCATCAAGATTTCATTTGGACAAAAACAATCAGACGTGTATGTCATAATATGGTTAATTCGGGAGGCCAAAACATTGTTAAAAACCCTTAACATGGAACATCACTCCCCAGAATACTCTGAAGCAAAATACAGGACTATGTAGCACTTTAAAGACTAACAAGATGGTTTATTAGATGATGAGCTTTCGTGGGCCAGACCCACTTCCTCAGATCAAATAGTGGAAGAAAATAGTCACAACCATATATACCAAAGGATACAATTAAAAAAAATGAACACACATGAAAAGGACAAATCACATTTCAGAGCAGGAGAGGGATGCGGGGAGGGGGGGAGAAAGAAGGAAAGTAAGTGTTTGTGAATTAATTATATTAGAGGTGGGGAGAGTTAGATGTCTGTGAGCTAATAGTATTAGAGGTGATAATTGGAGAAGCTACCTTGGTAATGGGTAAGATAGTTTGAGCCTTTGTTCATTCCTTCCCGGAGAGTGTCGAATTTTAACATGAATGACAGTTTCAGAATACTCTGAAAACTCTTCCAGGGCAGATTTTAACTGAGTACTTAAGGCCCAAATTCTGCATCCTGAGACTAGGTGTGAAGGCATTACTCCTTCTGTATACTCAGATCTGCCCAGGCACCTCTGCTAAAAGTCAGAATTGCAACCATTCCCCTCCTTCACACACAAAGTAGGTGAGATGGGAGAGCCAAAAATGGCTATTCACCAGTAGCATAAGCAAACAAGCCATTCCTTTGCTGGTCCGACATGGCCCTGTTGTCCAACATCACACATGCAGCAACTATGTCCCTCTTGGCTCTGGATCAGAGAAAATCTTACCCAAACTAGCAATGTGAACATTATTTTCAGTTTTGTTGTTGTTTTTGCTTAGTTTTGGAATTGGTACTTTACATAGAGAATATTGATGGATTATATGGGGAATTTTTTTATTTTTGTGCAATTGCAAAGATTAAAATACACCTTTAGATACAAATGCTGTTTTCTCTTTGATTAATGTCAAATCTCTTCAGTAATACTAGGATTTTAAAATAAATGAAGTTTTAACCAAAGTATCTGAACATCTTATTTAACTATTTTCAAACATTAGAATCAGCAAATATGGGAACAGTGGTCCTATTGTTTACTCCTGCCAGGATGAATAAGTTGTTCAGAATATTGATTTATTATCATGGTATGACTCCATTTGTGTTTCAGAGATTAACATTAAGGAGAGCTTTATTAATCTGCACATCTCTCATCTATATATTTTATATCTGGATTTAAAAAAGTCAGCTCTCGAACACCTACCAAATCTTAATAGCTCTTATGACACTGCAGTGAGGTGTGCTGTATTACTAACACTTAATTTTATAATATATTACAGTACACTTACTAGTACAAGTTGTCAAAATGAATGAATAAAGTATATCTTGTGATTTTTCCCTTCTGTTGGTTGTTCACTTACACACTAATTCGTAACTACATACAATGGATATCCTAGTCTTAGGTTTTATATCTCCTAGTTCAGTATCTGAAAAATTAACTTCAGGCTCTTCTTATTCATATCTTAAACAAATGTACCCTTAAAAATCTAAATGTTCTTGTCATTAAAATATTATTTCAGCTCAAGGTGCTGACCTTTCAGGATATGCACAAAGTGTTCTAAAACAGCGTTCTGAGCGTTTGCCATGAAACCACTGTCCTAGGCTGATAAATGGATTGGAAATAAGCTACCCAATAGTGGGAATGGGCCATTAATTTTAATCAAAGGTGATGCAGAAAGGCGAATGGAATGCATGACAATGTCAACAGCCGAGGAGATGCTAAGAGTCCACATAGCCTTCCTTGTTACGTGCTTGTACCATTAGTTGAGGTTGGATGAAGACAGAAAGCCATGTCTGGAATTGAATGACCAGGTCACTCCAAAATCTAATGCAGAAATGATGTTTCAGAAATACCAGTATAATGACATTAGAAGTCAAGGACAACATCTAGAAAATATTGAAGATGGTTTTTTTTCTTCTTTTTAAGGCATGTCTTGATTTTTTTTTCACAATTTTGTCTTGCTTGCACCCTGTCATAGTTCTGGACATCTTCAGCTATTGCTTAAAAGAAGCTTTGGTATTTACAAAGGATTAAAGTTTACAAACAGATCTAACTCTTCAAGTCAATGTACTTTTAAATTTATGGACTAATGAATTATTGAATTTGCCAAATTTTATATAATGCAACATGCAAGAGATAAAAAGCTGTGTCTTTCCTTTCATAACTTTCCAGTTGGAAGATAAAGTTTTATAATAACTTTAGACAAACATCAGTATAAAATAAGAAATTAGAATTTGTGGCATTAATAGATAGCTGTTCCAATTAACTCTAAATGGGAAGATTCGTTCTTCAAAAAGCAAATATATTTCTTTATTTTGAACATTTTTTGGTTACCAAGTACTGTATGACAGCTTGAATTAATGATGTTTATAATGAAGACATAAAAATGCAGAGACGACAAGGAAGCATTTTTATATCCATGCTTCAGGTTTGCTAAGAAGGTTCATTTAATCTGACACAGCATTGCATACATATGAAAGATATGTATGACTGCATTAGTAATTCTTGCACTCTTATTTAAAAGAAAATTAATTATGCTGCTGTCTGGTTAATAGAATACTGTTATAAACAATAGTATTTGTTCTCTATGCAGCTGAAGAGCAGCTTCGTGCAAAGGGTTATGACAAAACACCAGATTTTATTTTAGAAGTGCCAGTAGGTAAGACCTTAAAGTTTTTCTTTTAGCATTTAATGTGCTTATACTAAATTGTTAAGATTACTTAATGATAAGGCAAGAAAAACTAGATTATAAAATATTGCTATAAGTATTATAGCATATTCTACATTATGTACTATAAATACTATAAAATACTGTTTCTGAGGATATTTCCACTAGTGATTGTAATAATTTGTAAGAATAATTGTAGAATCTAGTAGTTGTTCTAATAATTGTAAGAAGTGTCTTTTCAGGATGTGGGGGCTTAAGTAACACCCCTCTACCTCAAACCTGAATTGACCATCACCTGAGGCTGAGATCAAACTGTTTATAAATGGTCTATCCCCAGACACGCATGGATCTAGTAAGACTCCAAAACATCCACCAAAAGGCCATGGAATGGAAGATCCTGAAAATCAATGAAATCATTCTGTTGCCTCATTTTGGCATCCACATCCTCCCCATTGCTCCCATAGATCTTCATGACCTGAAAGAGAAGAATTGTGAAAGAAGAAAATTTTAAAGGTCATTGGAGGAAAACTGGTAGATGTAAATCAGTTGTTGCTTTCCCTTTTTACTGATGATGGAGATCACATAAGCATCTAGATAATGAGGCAGAAGGAATTCTCAGAGTTAATACAAGATGACCATAGTCGTCCCTCTATCCATCTCTGATTCCCCTACACCTAGCCCTGGGATAGACAAAGCCAGGAGTTTACTGATAAGGAAGCTGACTCAATTGAACCTCATCCAGGGATCCCAGACACACCAGGTGAAAACAGAGACTGCAGCAGCAGGCCCTGAACTCTTGGGCTGCTGACTAGCAACTCCATTACACCTCCTCCAGAATAGCAGATGCTGAATGACCCTGCATGAGTCATCACCTTAACCAAGAAGAGTTATTACACTCATTTTCAAAACCTGCCATCTCCTTTTTCAATGATCTGTCAATGCATTTTTCAGAAAAAATTAGAAAATCATGGGAGCAAATATGAGAACTGACCAATTATCTGTGACCCTGATTTTTGCTCGTAAGTGTTTCAAGCATTTGGGACTCCTACTAGCAAGATTGTCAACATCTGCTTTGATGAAAGAGTTCTATCACTTACTCTAAATCATGCAGTTACCTAGGCAGTATTTAAGGTATAGTCACTCAACACAACATTCTTTTCCACTATGTAAAAGAAGACTTTTTATAAATATATTAGAAGCAAGAGGAAGACCAAGGACAGAGTAGGCCCACTGGTCAGTGAGGAGGGAGAAACTGTAACAGGAAACTTAGAAATGTCAGAGATGCTTAATGACTTCTTTGTTTCGGTCTTCACCGAAAAGTCTGAAGGAATGCCTAACATAGTGAATGCTATTGGGAAGGGTTTAAAAGACAAAATAAATAAAGAACAAGTTAAAAATAACCTAGAAAAGTTAGATGCTTGCAAGTCACCAGGGCCTAATGAAATGCATCCTAGAATACTCAAGGAGCTGATAGAGGAAGTTTCTGAGCCTCTAGTTATCATCTTTGGAAAATCATAGGAGAAAGGAGAGATTCCAAAAGACTGGAAAAGGGCAAATATAGTGCCCATTTATGAAAAAGGAAATAACAACAACCCAGGAAACTACTGACCAGTTAGTTTAACTTCTGTGCCAGGGAAGATAATGGAGCAAGTAATTAAGGAAATCATCTGTAAACACTTGGAAGGTGGCAAGGTGATAGGTAACAGTCAGCATGGATTTGTAAAGAACAAATCTTGTCAAACCAATCTGATAGCTTTCTTTGATAGGATAACAAGTCTTGTGAATAAGGGAGAAGCGGTGGATGTGGTATACCTCAACTTTAGTAAGGTGTTTGATATGGTCTCGCATGATATTCTTATAAATAAAGTAGGAAAATACAACTTTACTATAAGGTGGGTGCATAACTGGCTGGATAACTGTACTCAGAGAGTACTCAGAGTTCTCAATCCTGCTGGAAAGGTATAACAAGTGGGGTTCCGCAGTGGGTCTGTTTTGGGACCAGCTCTGTTCAATATCTTCATCAATGATTTAGATATTGGTATAGAAAGTACGCTTATTAAGTTTGCAGATGATACCAACCTGGTAGGGGTTGCGACTAATCTGGAGGATAGGGTCATAATTCAAAATGACCTGGATGAATTGGAGAAATGGTCTGAGATAAATAGGATGAAGTTTAATAAAGACAAATGCAAAGTGCTCCACTTAGGAAGGAACAATCAGTTTCGCACATACAGAACGGAAAGCAACGGTCTGGGAAGGAGAACGGCAGAAAGGGATCTAGGAGTTATAGTGGACCACAAGTTAAATATGAGTCAGCAGTGTGATGCTGTTGCAAGGAAAGCAAACATGATTCTGGGATGTATTAACAGATGTGTTGTGAGCAAGACATGAGAAGTAATTCTTCCCCTCTACTCTGCGCTGGTTAGGCCTCAATTGGAGTATTGTGTCCAGTTCTGGGCACCGCATTTCAAGAAAGATGTGGAGAAATTGGAGAGGGTCCAGAGAAGAGCAACGAGAATGATTAAAGGTCTAGAGAATATGACCTATGAGGGAAGGCTGAAGTAATTTGGTTTGTTTAGTTTAGAAAAGAGAAGATTGAGGGGGGACATGATAGCAGTGTTCAGATATCTAAAAGGGTATCATAAGGAGGAGGGAGAAAACTTCATCTTGGCCTCTGAGGATAGAACAAGAAGCAATGTTCTTAAACTGCAGCAAGGGAGGTTTAGGTTGGACATTGTGAAAAAGTTCCTAACTGTCAGGGTAGTCAAACGCTGGAATAAATCGCCCAGGGAGGTTGTGGAATCCCCATCTCTGGAGATATTTAAGATTAGGTTAGATAAATGTCTATCAGGGATGGTCTAGACAGTATTTGGTCCTGCCATGAGGGCAGGGGACTGGACTCGATGACCTCTCAAGGTCCCTTCTAGTCCTAATATTCTATGATTCTATGTCATCACTCTTTTATGAAATAATATTTTGAAAAAATCCAAAAGGCCATCTTCTACTCCACCTAGATATTTTCAGTATTCTGGACTCCTCCCACTCACTTTTCAGGAACAGAAATGACACTAGTGGCACCAATAGATGAATGACTGTGGACAAATGGCATACATTTGTATTCATACGACTGGACCTCTCCACAGTATTTGATACATTCAACCAAGATATTTTGCTGTCCCACAACAGAGACTTAGCAGAATAATTCTGCGATACCTTCATTCCATATTGCCAGGCCCCCCACATTAAGTTGCAATGAGAAGCTGTTTCACTTCCAAAGCTCTTACCTGAACAGTTTCATGGATCTGTCATCTTACCAGTCATATTTAACCTACAAAGAAGATTGTGAAACAGCACCGACTAAATGTTTAGCAAGAACAGATTGTTTAGGTATTAATCTCTTTCATATCAAACACTATCCAGCATCCTGGCTGTGATGAAACCAAGATGAAGAGCAACTGATTGTCATTAAAATATTGGAAGGCTAAAGGAGATGTTGATTTAGAAAAGGAAGTACTTGCTAGCTCTGAAACATCACCTCTTCAGTTGGTAAAATAGTTCATGGATTTGCTATCTGTATGCCTTTCTACCTCTAGGTATCCCAATAAATGTACAGAACATCTTCTTTATCCCCCAGCTGGCAAGAAGACCGCTAACTACTCCCCATCAGACAGTGACTTGACCATGAAAATGCATGTATACTTGAGAACAGATTCTCTGCCTAGATTTAAAAATGCCATCGTCTAAAATGCTACAATTGATATAAAATGTAAGAGGCCCAAGCTTCTGGGAGCTCATCTCCCCATGTTGAACTTTAATGTTTTGTTCTTCTGCTGTTACAGTAAGCTAGATACTGCAGTGATAGATGTTAGAAAAATCTTCAAAGCTCTCCATAGTATTGCCCCAAGTTACCTGGAGGGGGACTGGCTCATCTTATATTGGCATAAATTCCCACTGGAAATACTGAATTATCAACCTCAGGAGCAAAACCATGTTTGTGCAGGAGATGGGATTTTCATGGCAACTGACAGACCCACTGGAAGTTTGCTCTTGGAAAAGATCAGAGGGCCCATGAACTTCAGTGCCTTTGGAGAATAATCAAAAAGTCACTTCTTTAACATATCCTTTCTACATTAATATCACAGAACACTTCCCCCATAGAAATATAGTGTCTGCTGATTCCAAAGATAAAAGGAAGAAATACATGTATGTACCGTTCATAATTTTCAACATCGGGTTGAGCTTTGGTTGCCTCTCTACTTCCTCTCCTACACCAGTCTATAGTGTTGAAAAGTTTGTCTACAATAGCTGACCCATGCATTCATCAGGTGTTTCCAGCCCCTTTCTTAACACCTAAAAGGGAGAGTAAGGGGAAAAATGGTATAGCTGTACTTTTGTCTGCAGTGTTTTGGCTCTTTGTCCATTGAGCAACCATTCATATGGGTGTAAGTATCATTAAAAACTTTGGGAGCACATAGTAATTAAATTTAAATTGAGAAAATTATAGGTAGATAATGTTCTTTGAAGATTCTTGAATTTCTGTTTCCAAAAATATTCAGTGCAAATGTTGGAAAGATGGTTTACAGGTATACAACTGTGCCTGAAGTATAAGTCAAATGGTAGCTTCTTTGATAATTAGGGTCGTCAGTAATGTAGAACTTTACAAATCTTCATTGTGGACTGATTTTCAGAGATTTCACTCGTTTTATATTAATAATGCTTTGTCCCCCAAGCTGTTGAAGGACACATAATTCACTGGATTGAAAGCAAAGCTTCATTTGGTGATGAATGTAGCCACCAGGCCTATCTGCATGACCAGTTCTGGAGCTACTGGAATAGGTAGGTTTCCATTATTTTTCTTAATAGATGAAGAAAACTGTTAAAAGCTCATAAGAATTTCTCTATCTGGAAAAAGTGGTAATAGTTTTATTTATGTATATTTTTGATTAAATAGAGTGAATCACATATACTTGGGGTTCTAATACATTACATTTTAGAATCAAAGTTCCTGAATCAATGTAAAATATTTGTTGTTTCAGATTCTCATGATGATTGTCATTTAAAATCATCTACCTGTCTTAGAGATGTAATTACCATAGTAGCTATTGTAGTCAACTATTTTGTGCTGGGAATTAAGCATCTCAATTCAATTTATCCAAGATAAAAAGGGAAATTTTATTGATACTAGTTGTGATGACTTTCAGTAGTTCTATGACCGCCAAAACATCAGACTGTGGTGTACTTGTTCCTTCTAGATTGTGTAATGCTCGGGCTGCCCTTGTCAGGAATTAGGTTGTCCAGTGACTGCTGTTTATGGCAATTTTTTCCTTTAGTACTCTTAAGGAAGTGCATAATACTCTCAGTAGGAGGAAAAAAAGATGCTATAATTAGCTGCATAAGTGTTAGAAAAGGTTACTTTATATTTGACAAATTTTTAGATGGAGGGGACAACATATAAAAAAGGTATTTTCTTCTAAAGAATGTGTAGTAGTAGTAGTAGTAGTAGTAGTAGTACTTGGTTTTTCTTCAATATTATCCTTACACTGATCCTCACCATTAGCAGCTATACTGAGTTAAATTTGCCTTTTGCAATAAAACATACCATTGCAGAAATGAAGTAGTAATGAATATTTGTTTTTGTGCTGTACATGGCATCTGGCTTATTTAGTTCTGGAGTGTAGCAGAACACTTTCAGAATAAATTCTGCCATTTGAGTCTGATGTCACCTGCAGAACGATTACTTTACTTAGACCAATCAACTAACAGACCGTGTTTCATTTTTATTTTGTGTATGTTAACTAGGCACCTGTTCGTTTTAACATGGTAAAAAGTGACAACAATATTTCTTACTGTGTTGGAAGTGAGCACATGTACGGTTGTGGTGCCAAAATTAGGATGATTGGAGAATGAAGAATTCTAGTAGTCCCATTAGCCATCTAATTCCATCTTGATTAAAGAAACTGGACAGACTCCATAGTCACTTTGTGTGAGGACTGTAACAATCAGTTACAGCTGCATTAGTAGACACTTCTGCTGTATACTAACAAGTACATAGATATCAACAAGAGGCAGATTAAATAGTATTTAGTAAGTGCACTATGGATGATTTACTGCAAGTACATATAAACTCAGATATAACCATTTACTTTTTCCATCATTTGAGAGCCTGGATACTGCATCTCTAGAGTCTGTAATACAATTTCTGGAGAGTCCCAGGAGAAAATTTGACACTGTTATTAGCTGAAGTAACTTTACTATATGTGAAGAAGACACTAGCAAAATGTCTTCTTTGACACTGATATTAGAATAATGATAATTCCACATAATGAGAGAGAAGCATTTCTTCTTCTCTGTTTGAATATGAATAGCAAGTCTTCCCTCCAATGAATTCTTTTTTCACCTTTAATTCTAATCTAAATGTCTTTAATCCTGATCTTATATGCAAAAAGGGAACATGAATAAATAAGAACAAATTTCCTGTAAGTATTTTTAAAGTAACATCTACACTTTTGAAGTGTAAATTGACATTCATTACTAATTAATACATTAAGTCTGAGCTTAAAAAATACCTATTTACATCTAATGATCATAATGGTAAAATGAAAATAATATATGAAGCCCATGTAACCAAAAAGTGTGTTGATGAAAGATAAGAAAGGTCGTATTTTATAGGATTCTATACAATTTTGTGTTTTTTGTTTAATGGATTAGGAATTCACAATCAGGATTTATCACACAATAAAAAGATGGGAATTGGAAGATAAGAATGATAATCCTTTTTTCTACTAACTTGTTTGAGTTTGACTTCTGTTTGTCCAAAAACTATTTAAGTAATAATTTTAACAGTTTGCTTGAAATAAAAGCAAATTATTTTGCAGGTATATTAAAATAATGCATTTTTATAACAAGATAGCTATTCTCAAAACTTATGGGGGCTTAAAAAGTTTTAGTAGTGAGTTGAAACCTAGTGGTTTAATAGTCAGACTTAGAGGAAACCTTGGGAGTTGCATTTGTCAAGTAGCTAGGAAAACTGCTCATGCATACCCAGTATCCAAAGCTTCATCGGCAGTCCAAACATAAAGAACTAAAAGGTCATTCTTCTTCCTGCAGTATGAGGGTTTGTTGACATATTTTGACACACTGGTACAATGCTGAAAGGTTTTGACCTTACTGCAACACTGGGAGACTTAGGGTCAGGTTAGCTATCTCATGCTTGTAGAATTTCATACATGCTGGATTTTGTTGAAGTTTTTTATTTGTTTTTGGATTATTTTTGTGAGGGCGGGGGTGAGGAAGGTCTGTCAGAATTAGTAAACTAGCTTTAGTAAATTACCTTAAAATGGTTTTGAAATTTTATGATCACTTTTTATTATTCAACCATACTATCATTGTCTAAAAAGAAATTATTGTATACTCATCTATTTAGAACTCAAACATTCTTTAAGAGTAATTAATTTAGTTTTATAAAAGACATTTGTCAGTTTTCTAATTTTAATAAAAGGAAGTGAAAATAGTCTTAGTAGTAGACAAAAACAAATCAATTCTAAAGTAAAAAAAGAGCCATTTGTTTAAACTTGCTTTTTTAAGCAAAGATCCCACATACATAAAACCTTCTTGTTGCCTTATTATTTAATGAGATTGTGAAAAGTATCAGCACGTATTCTGACTACTAATGTAGTTTGTTCAAGAATTTGTTCAAAACAAGTAGCCCAAAATAAATATTTCAGTGTTTGGGCAAAGGTGTTTTCCTTAAGATGATTTAGAGTGTTGGACATATAGATATTTCTCAGTGAAACCACATCTTATGTTGACAACTGTTACAGTTGTATTACTTTCCAGACTCATTTTAAATTGTTTCACTCTGTATCAAAAGCCACTTGTGAATTACAGAAGCAAAGAAGAAACAAATACACGTAACATTTAGATTAAAATTTAAATTTGAATGATAAATGTCAATTAAACATGAATTATAATGTATTTTCCATATTAAATGTTTTATACATACATCTAAAATTAGGATTTTCATTATAAATGAATTAATACCTGTCTTTTTTTTGATTGCTGGATTATTGCATTCTTAGTTTTTACAGTAGTATGCAGAACACTATATATCATTATTTGAATTATTTTTCTTTATATTTTTCTCCACACTTTCAAATATTGTCATGTCACTGGAGACGATCATGTAGTATAGATAGAGTACTTTCAGCTTCCACATACATTACTGCAAGGCTTCAGGTCCAATTTCCCTGGTATTTCTCATTCAGATTAGACAAGCATCTAAGTTTATGTACGATATGAGCTGACAGCATAGATCCTGCTATTTTTGCCAAAGGCCTGGTTACAGACACTCCACTATGTCAAGGAATATCAGTCCTCACAGACCTTACCTTTCAGAACTCCTTGTAATTTTTAATTGACATTTACATCTGACATTTTCATTGTATTTCTTATTGTTGAGTTTTTATCTACCTAAGAATATATTTGAAAAAAAACTTATATAAGCTATTACATCCTATATTTTACTTTAGCAAGGCCAGTTTGCTTGCTGAAACTCAAAAATGACCAATGGCAATTGGACAGGCGGTTGTGAGTGTATCTTGAGAGTTAACTTGTAGTATAACTGTGTTAATTGTTGGCAACCCTCTATGTTCAAAAAGGATGCCATAATCGTCTGAAAAATTGTGTGTACTATTATACACACATACATGAATAGCAGAAATAAAATAAAAATAAATAAAATAAAGCTTAGTGGTCTATTTGCATATCATGTAGTATATTTTCTCTAAAATTGTAACTTTTTCATTTTAGTTTCATAGATGAAAAACTATATATTAATATAATTATTCATGTATTCAAACTTAGAATAAGATAGTACAGTTGATCATATGTGTCAAAAAGCACAGAACTAACAGAAGCGTTTTGTCACAAATAATGCTTCTTTTCCTCTAATTAGTTAATTTACATTTTACAAATTAAGGACAAAATTCAGACAGAAAATAATCTAGTAGCATATCATAGCTTTACTGACCTGTATTTGTATCTGCCAAATTTAAGTTAATTAGAAATGTAGATGCTGTTTGTTTTATCTGTCAAAAAGCTCATCTTACCAAAAAAAATCTAGACACACTTTTCTCCCCAACATTTATCATCTAAATAATAGTCTTGCCAAGATGGCAGCCTCATAATAAACTCTTTTCAGTGGAGTGATGGGTAATGAAGCTTGCTTGTGAAGGCAGCGAAAAATGTTGTCTAGCCAAATGCATGAATATGATGGCTAGAGAATCAGTGGACTTTCTCAGTCATCAATCTTTTTAGTAGCCTCTTATACATCTGAATATGTTGATAGATGATCTAATAATTGAGTTATCTATCTTTCTAACTATCAGAGTTGCATAAAAATTATTCTCACATGCTACTGAATATTAAATATATTAGGCATTCAGTAAATTTTTCAAAAAAGGGCAAAAAGGTAGAAGTGTTTTTTTTATAAACACCTTTATGTATTAATATTAAATTACTATATCTGGAGTATAAAATTACTTGTATTAATATAAGGAAAAAATGTCAAAAGCTGATGACAGACATGACTCTCCCAGTAAGTAAACTAAGTGAAAAGAAGAGGCTGAGTGGGAAAATGTATGTAAAGCTTGAGATGCATAATAAAGTGAGAAGTCTCAATGAATGCTACACAGATTCCATGTGTTTTAGAAATCTTTGCTATATGGTGTCAGTATGAACTTCAAATCTTTCAGTCTTTTTTGAGCGTGATTCTTCCAGGTTAAAGATAACTGAGAAGTATATATAGAAGATGCTTGTGATTTCATCTTGTGATTTAC